CTCAACACAACCCAACACAACTCAACACAACTGAACACAACTCAACACAACCCACCACAACCCACACAACTCAACACAACCCACACAACGCAACACAACCCACCACAACCCACACAACTCAACACAACCCACACAACTCAACACAACTCAACACAACTCACACAACTCAACACAACTCACACAACTCACACAACTCAACACAACCCACACAACTCAACACAACTCAACACAACGCACACAACCCACCACAACCCAACACAACTCAACACAACTCACACAACTCAACACAACTCAACACAACTCACACAACTCAACACAACTCACACAACTCAACACAACTCAACACAACTCACACAACTCAACACAACTCAGCACAACTCAACACAACTCAACTCAACACAACTCACACAACTCAACACAACTCAACACAATTCAACACAACTCACCACAACCCACACAACTCAACACAACCCACACAACGCAACACAACCCACCACAACCCACACAACTCAACACAACCCACACAACTCAACACAACTCAACACAACTCACACAACTCAACACAACTCACACAACTCACACAACTCAACACAACCCACACAACTCAACACAACTCAACACAACGTACACAACCCACCACAACCCAACACAACTCAACACAATCCACACAACTCAACACAACTCAACACAACTCAACACAACTCACACAACTCAACACAACTCAACACAACTCACACAACTCAACACAACTCACACAACTCAACACAACTCAACACAACTCAACACAACTCACACAACTCAACACAACTCAACACAACACAACTCAACACAACTCACACAACTCAACACAACTCAACACAATTCAACACAACTCACAAAACTCAACACAACTCAACACAACTCACCACAACTCACACAACTCAACACAACCCACACAACTCAACACAACTCACACAACTCAACACAACTCAACACAACCCACACAACTCAACACAACTCACCACAACTCACACAACTCAACACAACCCACACAACTCAACACAACTCACACAACTCAACACAACTCAACACAACCCACACAACTCAACACAACTCACCCACACAACTCAACACAACTCAACACAACTCAACACAACCCAACACAACCCACACAACTCCTCAACACAACTCACCCACACAACTCAACACAACTCAACACAACCCACACAACTCAACACAACTCAACACAACCCACACAACTCAACACAACTCAACACAACCCACACAACTCAACACAACTCAACACAACCACACAACTCAACACAACTCAACACAACTCAACACAACCCACACAACTCAACACAACTCAAGACAACGCAACACAACTCAACACAACTCAACACAACTCAACACAACACAACCCACACAACTCAACACAACTCAACACAACTCAACACAACTCAACACAACTCAACACAACTCAACACAACTCAACACAACCCACACAACTCAACACAACTCAACACAACTCAACACAACTAACACAACACAACCCACACAACTCAACACAACTCACCACAACTCAACACAACCCACACAACTCAACACAACTCAACACAACCCACACAACTCAACACAACCCACACAACTCAACACAACTCAACACAACCCACACAACTCAATACAACTAAACACAACTCAACACAACTCACACAACTCAACACAACTCAACACAACTCAACACAACCCACACAACTCAACACAACCCACACAACTCAATACAACCCACACAACTCAACACAACTCAACACAACTCACACAACTCAACACAACTCAACACAACTCAACACAACTCAACACAACCCACACAACTCAACACAACTCCTCAACACAACTCAACACAACTCAACACAACCCACACAACTCAACACAACTCAACACAACTCAACACAACTCAACACAACCCACACAACTCAACACAACTCACCAAAACAACTCAACACAACTCAACACAACTCACCACAACTCACCAACACAACTCAACACAACCCACCACAACCCACACAACTCAACACAACCCACACAACTCAACACAACTCAACATAACTCACCCACACAACCCACACAACTCAACACAACTCACCCACACAACCCACACAACTCAACACAACTCAACACAACCCACACAACTCAACACAACTCAACACAACTCACACAACTCAACACAACTCAACACAACTCAACACAACCCACACAACTCAACACAACTCCTCAACACAACTCAACACAACTCAACACAACTCAACACAACTCAACACAACCCACACAACTCAACACAACTCAACACAACTCAACACAACCCAACACAACTCAACACAACCCACACAACTCAACACAACCCACACAACTCAACACAACTCAACACAACTCACCAACACAACTCAACACAACTCAACACAACTCACCAACACAACTCAACACAACCCACACAACTCAACACAACTCCTCAACACAACTCAACACAACTCAACACAACTCAACACAACTCAACACAACTCACCCACACAACCCACACAACTCAACACAACTCACCCACACAACCCACACAACTCAACACAACTCACCCACACAACACAACCCACCACAACTCAACACAACCCACCACAACCCACCACAACTCAACACAACCCACCACAACTCAACACAACTCACCACAACCCACCACAACCCACCACAACTCAACACAACCCACACAACTCAACACAACTCAACACAACCCACACAACTCAACACAACTCAACACAACTCACACAACTCATCACAACTCACACAACTCAACACAACTCAACACAACCCACACAACTCAACACAACTCCTCAACACAACTCAACACAACCCACCACAACCCACCACAACTCAACACAACCCACCACAACCCACCACAACTCAACACAACCCACCACAACCCACCCACACAACACAACTCACCAACACAACTCAACACAACTCAACACAACCCACCACAACCCACCACAACCCACCCACACAACACAACCCACCACAACCCACCACAACCCACCCACACAACACAACCCACCACAACTCAACACAACCCACCACAACTCACCACAACCCACCACAACCCACGCCTTTTGGGGGGGGGGGTGGCTGAACGCTCATCTGGCCCCTCTACGGCAGAACCAGACAACGTTCCGTTGCCGGGGCCCGGACCGCGAGCCTGGGTCCCGGACAGCGTGGCCAGAGACGTGCCCATCCCGACGTGGATCTATCACCAGCAGCGACACGCAGAATCACCCCGGCCTGGGGTGGGCGGGGCCGGCTCCGCCCCCGGCCCCGCCCACCTTCCAGATCCCTCCGGCACTTTCCCGAAGGCTCCCGAGAGCTCCCCTACACCACGTGACCGCCCAGCACGTGGCGGTGGACGTTCACCGTCGCTGCAAAACACCCTCGGTGTGTCGACGCTGACGGGCCCTGGCACCCCAAGCGGGCTCGCCCCGAGTGGCCACGCTGCGAGGGGGTTGGCGAGGCTGTTTCGCGCTGGTGGTGGAGGGTGCTGACGACACAACAATCACAACTCGGTCGGTCTAAGCCGCACGCTTGCAAGGATTTATTGTGGAAATCGTCGTCGTCCGGCGGGAGTTGTTTTTGATCGCTGGCGCGTGCGGCCGTGAGAGTCACTCCCGTTGGACATTGATGGGTGGGTGGGTGGGTGAGTGGGTGGGTGGGTGAGTGGGTGGGTGAGTGGGTGAGTGGGTGGGTGGGTGAGTGAGTGGGTGGGTGGGTGAGTGGGTGGGTGGGTGGGTGAGTGGGTGAGTGAGTGAGTGAGTGGGTGGGTGAGTGAGTGAGTGGGTGGGTGAGTGAGTGAACGGGTGAGCGGGTGAGTGAGTGGGTGGGTGAGTGAGCGGGTGAGTGAGTGGGTGGGTGAGTGAGTGAGCGGGTGAGTGAGTGGATGGGTGAGTGAGTGGGTGAGTGGGTGAGTGAGTGAGTGAGTGGGTGAGTGAGTGAGCGGGTGAGTGAGTGGGTGGGTGAGTGAGTGAGCGGGTGAGTGAGTGGGTGGGTGAGTGAGTGAGCGGGTGAGTGAGTGGGTGGGTGAGTGAGTGAGTGAGTGGGTGGGTGAGTGGGTGGGTGAGTGAGTGAGTGAGTGGGTCAGTGAGTGGGTGAGTGGGTGAGTGTGTGAGTGAGTGGGTGAGTGGGTGGGTGAGTGGGTGGGTGGGTGAGTGGGTGAGTGGATGGATGGGTGGGTGAGTGAGTGAGTGAGTGGGTGAGTGAGTGGGTGAGTGGGTGAGTGGGTGAGTGAGTGGGTGAGTGAGTGGGTGAGTGAGTGGGTGGGTGAGTGAGTGGGTGGGTGTGTGGTGTGAATGAGCGAGTGGGTGAGTGAGTGAGTGGGTGAGTGAGTGGGTGAGTGAGTGGGTGAGTGAGTGGGTGAGTGAGTGGGTGAGTGAGTGGGTGAGTGGGTGGGTGGGTGAGTGAGTGGGTGAGTGAGTGAGTGAGTTGGTGGGTGAGTGGGTGAGTGAGTGGGTGAGTGAGTGAGTGAGTTGGTGAGTGGGTGAGTGAGTGGGTGAGTGAGTGGGTGAGTGAGTTGGTGAGTGGGTGAGTGAGTGGGTGAGTGGGTGAGTGAGTGGGTGAGTGAGTGAGTGAGTTGGTGAGTGGGTGAGTGAGTGGGTGAGTGAGTGGGTGAGTGGGTGGGTGAGTGGGTGGGTGAGTGGGTGAGTGAGTGGGTGAGTGGGTGAGTGAGTGGGTGAGTGGGTGGGTGAGTGGGTGAGTGAGTGAGTGAGTTGGTGAGTGGGTGAGTGGGTGAGTGAGTGGGTGAGTGGGTGGGTGAGTGGGTGAGTGAGTGGGTGAGTGGGTGGGTGAGTGGGTGAGTGAGTGAGTGAGTTGGTGAGTGGGTGAGTGAGTGGGTGAGTAGGTGGGTGAGTGGGTGAGTGAGTGGGTGAGTGGGTGGGTGAGTGGGTGAGTGAGTGAGTGAGTGGGTGAGTGAGTGGGTGAGTGAGTGGGTGAGTGAGTGGGTGAGTGAGTGGGTGAGTGAGTGGGTGAGTGAGTGGGTGAGTGAGTGAGTGGGTGAGTGAGTGGGTGAGTGAGTTGGTGAGTCAGCGGTGTCAGCCCTTGCTCTGAGCCGGCGTGAGACCGAGCTCAGCGAGGTCACAGACGTCCACGTGGGCATCCTCCAGCGCAAGGTCAGTGAAGGTCAACTCCAGCTCCACCTGGGGCGGGGTTAGTGGGGCGGGGGGCGGGGTTAGTGGGGCGGGGGGCGGGGTTAGTGGGGAGGCGGGGTTAGTAGGGAGGGGGCGGGGTTAGTGGGGCGGGAGGCGGGGTTAGTGGGGAGGCGGGGTTAGTGGGGAGGCGGGGTTAGTGGGGAGGAGGCGGGGTTAGTGGGGAGGCGGGGTTAGTGGGGGGGCGGGGTTAGTGGGGAGGCGGGGTTAGTGGGGGGAGTGTCAGAGACGGAGTTCATTAATTATTATTACTACTACACACTACTACACACTATTACTACTACACACTATTACTACTACACACTACTACACACTATTACTACTACACACTACTACACCCTATTACACACTATTACTACTACACACTACTACACACTATTACACACTATTACTACTACACACTACTACACACTATTACTACTACACACTACTACACACTATTACTACTACACACTATTACACACTATTACTACTAAACACTACTACTACACACTACTACACACTATTACTACTACACACTACTATACACTATTACTACTACTACACACTATTACTACTACACACTACTATACACTATTACTACTACACACTATTACTACTACACACTACTACTACTACACACTACTACACACTATTACTACTACACACTATTACTACTACACACTATTACTACTACACACTATTACTACAACACACTATTACTACTAGTGTTTAGTGTAGTGTATAGTATAGTGTAGTGTATAGTGTAGTGTATAGTGTAGTAGTGTATAGTGTAGTGTATAGTGTAGTAGTGTATAGTGTAGTAGTGTATAGTGTAGTGTATAGTGTAGTGTATAGTGTAGTGTATAGTGTAGTATATAGTGTAGTATGCTAGTACTGCACACCGGTTTGCATGGTTGCGGAGCAAAGTCCGACGTTTTAGCCGGTGACCACAGCCGGCATCGTCTGTCGCTCGCGACAGTGCACGTGTTCAACATTGCTTAAACATTGGTAGTGGCGGTGCTAACTCGAAGCTCACCTCCGTCATGTCTCCGACAATGGGAATCACTGCTGAGCCGTAGCTGATGGAGGCTCGGCTCTCCATCTGCAGGCCGGGCAGTCCCCCTCCAACGGGCTGTGGACGCGCACAGAGATCCCCAGCCCAGGTGATGGTGGTGATGGTGGTGGTGATGGTGGTGGTGGTGATGGTGGTGGTGATGGTGGTGGTGGTGATGGTGGTGATGATGGTGGTGGTGGTGGTGATGGTGGTGATGGTGGTGGTGATGGTGGTGGTGGTGGTGGTGATGATGGTGGTGATGGTGGTGATGGTGGTGATGGTGGTGATGGTGGTGGTGGTGGTGATGGTGGTGGTGATGATGATGGTGGTGGTGATAGTGGTGGTGGTGGTGATGGTGGTGATGGTGGTGGTGGTGATGGTGGTGGTGGTTGTGGTGGTGATGGTGGTGGTGGTGGTGATGGTGGTGGTGGTGATGGTGGTGATGATGGTGGTGGTGGTGATGGTGGTGGTGGTGGGCCACACTTTGACAAGCGGCTAGCGTTTGGCATGGCGAGGTCAATTCTGAATATCAAGTTCGCACACGCAGTAGGGGGCTTTGCCTGGTATGGATGTGGGTTGGTTTAGTGTTGTATCTGTGTGTGTCTGTGGGTGTGTGTGTGTGTGTCTGTGTGGGTCTGTGTGTGTCTGTGGGTGTGTGTGTGTGTGTGTGGGTCTGTGTGTGTCTATGGGTTTGTATGTGTCTATGGGTTTGTATGTGTCTGTGTGTCTCTGTGGGTGTGTGTCTGTGTGGGTCTGTGTGGGTCTGTGTGTGTCTGTGGGTGTGTGTGTGTCTGTGTGGGTCTGTGTGTGTCTGTGGGTCTGTGTGTTTCTATGGGTTTGTATGTGTCTGTGGGTCTGTGTGTGTCTGTGGGTGTGTGTGTGGGTCTGTGTGTCTGTGGGTCTGTGTTTGTGTCTGTGGGTGTGTGTGTGTGTGTCTGTGTGGGCCTGTGTGTGTCTGTGGTTTCAGGAAAGGGCGGTCCTGCACAGATGCCATATTTTCTGTCTGTCTGCTACAGCAGAGGTGTAGGGAATTCCAAAAAGACCTACATCTTTGCTTTATTGACCTGGTCAAGACCTATGATACCATCAGTAGGCCTGGGCTCTGGGTTGTTCTTCGTGCTTTTGGAGTACCTGACCCTCTGCTCACGATCATTAAGCACCTCCATGATGGTGAGCGGGCCCGGGTAAAACTACGTGGCCGGGAGTCAGAGCCATTCCCTGTACACCTTGGGGTGCGACAGGGATGTCCTCTGGCTCCCACATTATTTAACATCTATTTTGACCACGTAGTTCGTGAAGCCTTCAATAGCTGCACCGGGGGAATCTCCATATGGTACAGATATAATGGCAGGCTGATCAATGCCCGGGTGCGGTCAAGGGATGGCTCCCTATTGCTTAACCACGTTATGTATGTTGATGATTTGGTAATAGCAGCTCATTTAGAGGAGGAGTTGGAGACGCTGCTGCTGAGACTGGAGCGTGCCACTAAGAGGTGGGGCCTTACCATCAGCCCCAACAAAACTAAGCACCTGCCTGGGTATTTTGTACCATCGGACACTACACCCCCACAACTCCCAATCGGTGATGGGGCAGTTGTGGAGCGAGTAGAGAGTTTCCCATACCTGGGCAGTGTGCTTATGACTGGCTCCAATTTAACAGCAGAGGTCTCACTCCGAATCAGTCGAGCGGCAATATATTTTCATCGGTTGCGTTACGCTGTGTGGAAGCTACCTGGTCTGTCGCTCCGCACTAAGCTTCAGGTCTTCTCGGCCACGGTCATTCCCTCCCTTCTCTACGCTTGTGAAACGTGGACCCCCCTAATGGAACATCTTCGCCGGTTAGAAACATTTTGGCTGGCCTGCCTACGATCCATCCTGGGTTTAACCAGACTGGATTGTGTGAAGAGCTCACAAATCCTTGAAAGATCTGGGCAAGGTCCCATCGGTGAGCTCCTCCGGCGGGCAAGGCTGCGATGGCTGGGTCATGTAGCCCGCATGCCCAGCCACCGCATGCCGAAACAGCTTTTGTTCGGCCGGATTGAGGGGGCTAAACAGGCGCGGCATGGGTTAGAGAAGAGATGGAGTGATGTGGTACAGGAGGACGTGGAGCTGAGTGGACTTGCCGATGACTGGTACCAGCGGTGTCAAGATCGGCCTCTGTGGAGGAGGCTCGTGAAGGATGCTACTGGGCAGTTGGAGGTAGTCGCCCTCCAACAACAACGGAGGGCGGAGGAGCGACGCTCACAACAACGAGCGGAGCGCCGGGTGGCTAAAGCACAGCAGGTTGGCACAGTAGGGGCACAGGTGGTGCATCAGCCAGTCATCTCAGTCAGTCGACCCGTGGCACCTGGGTCTGCCCCGTGACCTCCTGCCAGCGGGTGTTCGACACTTCACGTGGCCTCAGGGTGCACATAGCCTGGCACAAGCGTCGTGGTGACGTCACCGCCACTTAGTGGTGAATGGCGGTTGTTGTTGTGTCTGTGTGTGTCTATGGGTTTGTATGTATCTGTGGGTCTGTGTGTGTCTGTGTGTCTTTGTGGGTCTGTTAGTGTCTGTGGGTCTGTGTGTGTGCTATGGGTTTGTATGCGTCTGTGGGTCTGTGTGTGTCTGTGTGTCTCTGTGTGTGTGTGTGTCTATCTCAATTTTGTCCCCGTTGATGAACATTTTTGAAAAATTATTGACCTACCAACTTAGCAGTTGCCTGTCCACCAACAATCTACTACATCTAAAACAATCTGGGTTCCGAAAAAAATACAGCACCACATCTGCTGCATTAGACTCTCTGAATCACATTTACAGTAGCCTTGATAATAAGCAGTACTGTGCCTGTCTTTTTCTTCTTCATGTCAATGACTTGGGCGCTGACCTGGATCATTCCAGGGTAAATCTTTTTGCAGATGACACGGTACTGATGACTGCTGGCCGCTCTCCGGATGACGTGATTGCTAAGCTCCAGGGTGATTTCAACAAACTACAACATCAGCCGGTTGCTCTTAAACTAGTCCTGAATACCTCCAAAACCAAGGTGCTATGCTTCTCACCGGGACTAAAGCAGGAAGTTATTTTTTCCCCAATTACATTCCTTGAATAATTATCAAATAGAGCAAGTCAAGATCTATAAGTATCTTGGGGTCATCCTGGATTCAAAACTGAATTTTGAAGATCACATTGATTATATTGGTAAAAAGACAAAAATAAAAATTGGTTTTCTGTATCGACACAAGCACTGCTTCCCCCCAATGTTCCGTTTGGAATTGATAAAAGCTACCATACTGCCTCTACTTGACTACTGTGACATCGTGTATAAATCAGCCCCAAGTACTGTACTGAAGAAGCTTGATTCCATCTATCACTCGGCCTTAAGATTTGCATTGAACTGCCCATATAGGACTCACCACTGTGATCTCTACATTGGGTCAAACTTAACATCTCTTAATTTTCGACGGCTTGTGCACCAGATCTTATTTATTCACGATGTACTTACAAACAAAATCCGAGGACTACCCGCTGCTGGATCTCCTCGCTGTTTCAATGAACAAATTTGACCTCAGGTCTTCGCTCATTTACCAGCTTCACATTCCCCTATTGCCGTACAAAAACCGGAGGAAGGGCCTTTGCTATTGATGCCCCCAGGGTCTGGAATGCTATTGCCAATAAACTGCAACTTGAATCGCTACCAATGAGATCTTCACTCAAAACTGCTCTAGAGGAGTTGTACACTCCTAGCTTCCACTGCTATTCGTTGGCGTAAAATCAAATCAAATGTTTTCGCTCCGGATGACCGCTGCAAAGTATTCTCTGTATTTTGATTTAGCGTGCTGATCTTAAAGATGCATTGAACAATGTTTGATACTCCGACTGATGCTCCTGTTGTTTGTGGAGTAACTCATGCAGCCAGCTATGGATCTAGGATTTGGTGTTACATGTTATTATTTACGTAGTTTATCGTAAGAAAAATTCGGTCACAGTCCTTGTGATCACTGTTACGTTGCAATTATGGCTTTATTTTTTGGTGATTTCGAAAACGTGTTTTTGGTTTGGACATGTTTGTTTTGTTGTAGTATGGAGTTAGACTGACGGCCTTAATCTAAGTTGTCTTGTGGTTGTTGTTGTAGTACGGAGTTAGACTGATGGCCTTAATCTAAGTTGTCTTGTGGTTGTTGTTGTAGTACGGAGTTAGACTGATGGACTTAATCTAAGTTGTCTTGTGGTTGTTGTTGTAGTACGGAGTTAGACTGATGGCCTTAATCTAAGTTGTCTTGTGGTTGTGGTTGTAGTACGGAGTTAGACTGATGGCCTTAATCTAAGTTGTCTTGTGGTTGTGGTTGTAGTACGGAGTTAGACTGATGGCCTTAATCTAAGTTGTCTTGTGGTTGTTGTTGTAGAACGGAGTTAGACTGATGGCCTTAATCTAAGTTGTCTTGTGGTTGTTGTTGCAGTACGGAGTTAGACTGAGGGCCTTAATCTAAGTTGTCTTGTGGTTGTTGTTGTAGTACGGAGTTAGACTGATGGCCTTAATCTAAGTTGTCTTGTGGTTGTTGTTGTAGTACGGAGTTAGACTGATGGCCTTAATCTAAGTTGTCTTGTGGTTGTTGTTGTAGTACGGAGTTAGACTGATGGCCTTAATCTAAGTTGTCTTGTGGTTGTTGTTGTAGTACGGAGTTAGACTGATGGCCTTAATCTAAGTTGTCTTGTGGTTGTTGTTGTAGTACGGAGTTAGACTGACGGCCTTAATCTAAGTTGTCTTGTGGTTGTTGTTGTTGTACGGAGTTAGACTGATTGTCTTAATCTAAGTTGTCTTGTGGTTGTTGTTGTAGTACGGAGTTAGACTGATGGCCTTAATCTAAGTTGTCTTGTGGTTGTTGTTGTAGTACGGAGTTAGACTGATGGCCTTAATCTAAGTTGTCTTGTGGTTGTGGTTGTAGTACGGAGTTAGACTGATGGCCTTAATCTAAGTTGTCTTGTGGTTGTTGTTGCAGTACGGAGTTAGACTGATGGCCTTAATCTAAGTTGTCTTGTGGTTGTTGTTGTAGTACGGAGTTAGACTGATGGACTTAATCTAAGTTGTCTTGTGGTTGTTGTTGTAGTACGGAGTTAGACTGATGGCCTTAATCTAAGTTGTCTTGTGGTTGTGGTTGTAGTACGGAGTTAGACTGATGGCCTTAATCTAAGTTGTCTTGTGGTTGTGGTTGTAGTACGGAGTTAGACTGATGGCCTTAATCTAAGTTGTCTTGTGGTTGTTGTTGCAGTACGGAGTTAGACTGATGGCCTTAATCTAAGTTGTCTTGTGGTTGTTGTTGTAGTACGGAGTTAGACTGATGGCCTTAATCTAAGTTGTCTTGTGGTTGTTGTTGTAGTACGGAGTTAGACTGATGGCCTTAATCTAAGTTGTCTTGTGGTTGTTGTTGTAGTACGGAGTTAGACTGATGGCCTTAATCTAAGTTGTCTTGTGGTTGTTGTTGTAGTACGGAGTTAGACTGATGGCCTTAATCTAAGTTGTCTTGTGGTTGTTGTTGTAGTACGGAGTTAGACTGATGGCCTTAATCTAAGTTGTCTTGTGGTTGTTGTTGTAGTACGGAGTTAGACTGATGGCCTTAATATAAGTTGTCTTGTGGTTTTTGTTGTAGTACGGAGTTAGACTGATGGCCTTAATCTAAGTTGTCTTGTGGTTGTTTATTGTAGTACGGAGTTAGACTGATGGCCTTAATCTAAGTTGTCTTGTGGTTGTTGTTGTAGTACGGAGTTAGACTGACGGCCTTAATCTAAGTTGTCTTGTGGTTGTTGTTGTTGTACGGAGTTAGACTGATGGTCTTAATCTAAGTTGTCTTGTGGTTGTTGTTGTAGTACGGAGTTAGACTGATGGCCTTAATCTAAGTTGTCTTGTGGTTGTTGTTGTAGTACGGAGTTAGACTGATGGCCTTAATCTAAGTTGTCTTGTGGTTGTGGTTGTAGTACGGAGTTAGACTGATGGCCTTAATCTAAGTTGTCGTGTGGTTGTTGTTGTTGTTGTACGGAGTTAGACTGATGGCCTTAATCTAAGTTGTCTTGTGGTTGTTGTTGTAGTACGGAGTTAGACTGATGGCCTTAATCTAAGTTGTCTTGTGGTTGTTGTTGTTGTAGTACGGAGTTAGACTGATGGCCTTAATCTAAGTTGTCTTGTGGTTGTTGTTGTAGTACGGAGTTAGACTGATGGCCATGGATTTTCTGTCTTGCACAGTCAACACAAAGTCACTTTAAGATGTTTTTCTTGTTCGTGTTTTAGTTTTTTAGTTTGTTGTGGTTGCACTCGATTCAAGAGCCAAATGGCTCAGGGCTATACCAAAATAAACTAAACTGAAACTGAAAACTGAGTGTATTTATTTGTCTGTGGGTCTGTGTGACTGTGTGTGTCTGTTGGTCTGTGTGTGTCTGTGTGTGTGTCTGTTGGTCTGCGTGTGTCTGTGTGTGTATGTGTGTGTGTCTGTGGGTCTGTGTGTGTCTGTTGCTCTGTGTGTGTCTGTGTGTGTGTGTATCTGTGGGTCTGTGTGTATCTGTGTGTGTATCTGTGTGTGTCTGTGTTTGTACCTGTGTGTGTGTATCTGTGTGTGTCTGTGGGTCTGTGTGTCTGTGTGTGTCTGTGTGTGTGTCTGTATGTGTGTGTGTCTGTTGGTCTGTGTGTGACTGTATGAGTCTGTGTCTCTGTGTGTGTGTGTCTGTGTGTGTCTGTGTGTGTGTGTCTGTATCTGTGTGTGTCTGTGTTTTTTACGTGTGTGTGTATCTGTGTGTGTCTGTGGGTCTGTGTGTCTGTGTGTGTCTGTGTGTGTGTCTGTATGTGTGTGTGTCTGTGGGTCTGTGTGTGACTGTATGAGTCTGTGTCTCTGTGTGTGTGTGTCTGTGTGTGTCTGTGTGTGTGTCTGTATGTGTGTCTGTGGGTCTGTGTGTGACTGTATGTGTCTGTGTGTGTCTGTGTGTGTGTCTGTTGGTCTGTGTGTGTATGTGTGTGTGTCTGTGGGTCTGTGTGTGTCTGTTGGTCTGTGTGTGTGTGTATCTGTGGGTCTGTGTGTATCTATGTGTGTCTGTGGGTCTGTGTGTCTGTGTGTGTCTGTGTGTGTGTCTGTGGGTCTGTGTGTGACTGTATGAGTCTGTGTCTCTGTGTGTGTGTGTCTGTGTGTGTCTGTGTCTGTGTGTGTGTCTGTATGTGTGTGTGTCTGTGGGTCTGTGTGTGACTGTATGTGTCTGTGTCTCTGTGTGTGTCTGTGTGTGTCTGTGTGTGTGTGTATCTGTGTGTGTCTGTGTGTGTCTGTTGGTCTGTGTGTGTCTGTGTGTGTGTCCGTTGGTCTGTGTGTGTCTGTGTGTGTATGTGTGTGTGTCTGTGGGTCTGTGTGTGTCTGTTGGTCTGTTTGTGTCTGTGTGTGTGTGTATCTGTGGGTCTGTGTGTATCTCTTTGTGTCTGTGGGTCTGTGTGTCTGTGTGTGTCTGTGTGTGTGTCTGTATGTGTGTGTCTGTGGGTCTGTGTGTGACTGTATGTGTGTGTCTGTGTGTGTGTCTGTGTGTGTCTATGTGTGTGTGTGTATCTGTGTGTGTCTGTGTTTGTACCTGTGTGTGTGTATCTGTGTGTGTCTGTGGGTCTGTGTGTCTGTGTGTGTCTGTGTGTGTGTCTGTATGTGTGTGTATCTGTGGGTCTGTGTGTGACTGTATCAGTCTGTGTCTCTGTGTGTGTGTGTGTCTGTGTGTGTCTGTGTGTGTGTCTGTATCTGTGTGTGTCTGTGTTTGTACCTGTGTGTGTGTATCTGTGTGTGTCTGTGGGTCTGTGTGTCTGTGTGTGTCTGTGTGTGTGTCTGTATGTGTGTGTGTCTGTGGGTCTGTGTGTGACTGTATGAGTCTGTGTCTCTGTGTGTGTGTGTCTGTGTGTGTCTGTGTGTGTGTCTGTATGTGTGTCTGTGGGTCTGTGTGTGACTGTATGTGTCTGTGTGTGTCTGTGTGTCTATGTGTGTGTGTGTGTGTATCTGTGTGTGTCTATCTGTGTGTGTGTCTGTGTTTGTGTGTGTCTGTGTTATTGTGTGTGTACCTTGTACTGTGCACGCCTATCGTGTTTGTGAGTCCTGTGTGCTTCTGTTATCGTTGTAACCTTCTGTGATTAAAGAGCTTCACAGCTCTTCGGGATTCCTCCAGCAGTCTAAATGCAAGATTCTGATCATTCTCAGTGCTGCTTGCGAGCACTTAGAGACACGCCTTGGAGACCCAGTGACCTCTCATCCTGCTGACCCAGTGACCTCTCCCCCTGCTGACCCAGTGACCTCTCCCCCTGCTGACCCAGTGACCTCTCCCCCTGGTGACCCAGTGAACTATCCCCCTGGTGACCCAGTGACCTCTCACCCTGCTGACCCAGTGACCTCTCACCCTGCTGACCCAGTAACCTCTCATCCTGCTGACCCAGTGACCTCTCACCCTGCTGACACAGTGACCTCTCCCTCTCATCATGGTGACACAGTGACCTCTCCCTCTGGTGACTCAGTGATCTCTCCCCCTGCTGACCCAGTGAACTCTCCCCCTGGTGACCCAGTGACCTCTCACCCTGCTGACCCAGTGACCTCTCACCCTGGTGACCCAGTGACCTCTCCCACTAGTGACCAGTGACCTCTTCCCCTGGTGACCCAGTGACCTGTCACCCTGCTGACCCAGTGACATCTCACCCTGCTGACCCAGTGACCTCTCATCCTGCTGACCCAGTGACCTCTCACCCTGCTGACACAGTGACCTCTCCCTCTCATCATGGTGACACAGTGACCTCTCACCCTGGTGACCCAGTGACCTCTCCCCCTGCTGACCCAGTGACCTCCCCCCCTGGTGACCCAGTGACCTCTCACCTTGATGGCCCAGGGCCTGCGGCCTACGTAGGAGAAGAAGAGGCACTTGGAGCGGTGCCGTGTGGTGGCCAGGGTGACGCGGGCGCTGATCGGCCGTGCGGACGTCAGGTGCAGCAGCTTCTGGGCTGATCTCCACAACCACCACGGCCACCACCACCACCACGGCCACCACCACCACCACCACCACCACAACCACCACCACAACCACCACCACGGCCACCACCACCACGGCCACCACAACAACCACCACCACAACCACCACAACCACCACCACCATGACAACAATAACCACAACCACCACCACGACAACAACCACCACCACCACCACAACCACCACAAGCGCCTGCGGTTAGCGTGTTCTGCTCCGTGACTGAGTGAGTGAGTGGGTGAGTGAGTGGGTGGGTGAGTGAGTGAGTGAGTAGGTGAGTGAGTGGGTGGGTGAGTGGGTGAGTGAGTGAGTGAGTGGGTGAGTGAGTGAGTGGGTGAGTGAGTGGGTGGGTGAGTGAGTGAGTGAGTAGGTGAGTGAGTGGGTGGGTGAGTGGGTGAGTGAGTGAGTGGGTGGGTGGGTGAGTGAGTGAGTGGGTGAGTGAGTGGGTAGGTGGGTGAGTGAGTGGGTGAGTGAGTGGATGAGTGAGTGGGTGAGTGAGTGATTGGATGAGTGAGTGGATGAGTGAGTCTGTGAGTGAGTGGGTGAGTGAGTGGGTGAGTGTGTGGGTGGGTGGGTGAGTGAGTGAGTGAGTGGGTGAGTGTGTGGGTGGGTGGGTGGGTGAGTGAGAGAGTGAGTGGGTGAGTGAGTGGATGAGTGAGTGGGTGAGTGAGTGATTGGATGAGTGAGTGGATGAGTGAGTCTGTGAGTGAGTAGGTGAGTGAGTGGGTGGGTGAGTGGGTGAGTGAGTGAGTGGGTGGGTGGGTGGGTGAGTGAGTGGGTGAGTGAGTGGGTGGGTGGGTGGGTGAGTGAGTGGGTGAGTGAGTGGATGAGTGAGTGGGTGAGTGAGTGATTGGATGAGTGAGTCTGTGAGTGAGTGGGTGAGTGAGTGGGTGAGTGTGTGGGTGGGTGGGTGGGTGAGTGAGTGAGTGGGTGAGTGAGTGGATGAGTGAGTGGTTGAGTGAGTGATTGGATGAGTGAGTAGATGAGTGAGTCTGTGAGTGAGTGGGTGAGTGAGTGGGTGAGTGAGTGGGTGGGTGGCTGGGTGAGTGAGTGGGTGAGTGAGTGGATGAGTGAATGGGTGAGTGAGTGAGTGAGTGGGTGAGTGAGTGGGTGGGTGAGTGGGTGAGTGAGTGAGTGAGTGGGTGAGTGAGTGAGTGGGTGGGTGAGTGGGTGAGTGGGTGAGTGGGTGGGTGGGTGAGTGGGTGGGTGGGTGAGTGAGTGAGTGAGTGGGTGAGTGAGTGAGTGAGTGGGTGAGTGAGTGAGTGAGTGGGTGAGTGAGTGGGTGGGTGAGTGGGTGAGTGAGAGAGTGAGTGAGTGGGTGGGTGGGTGAGTGGGTGGGTGGGTGAGTGGGTGGGTGAGTGAGTGGGTGAGTGAGTGAGTGAGTGAATGAGTGGGTGGGTGAGTGGGTGAGTGGGTGAGTGGGTGGGTGGGTGAGTGAGTGGGTGAGTGGGTGGGTGGGTGGGTGAGTGGGTGAGTGGGTGGGTGGGTGGGTGAGTGGGTGGGTGACTGGGTGAGTGAGTGAGTGGGTGAGTGAGTGAGTGGGTCAGTGAGTGAGTGGGTGAGTGGGTGAGTGAGTGGGTGAGTGAGTGGGTGAGTGGGTGGGTGGGTGGGTGAGTGAGTGGGTGAGTGAGTGGGTGAGTGGGTGGGTGGGTGGGTGAGTGAGTGGGTGAGTGAGTGGATGAGTGAGTGGGTGAGTGAGTGGATGAGTGAGTGGGTGAGTGAGTGATTGGATGAGTGAGTGGATGAGTGAGTCTGTGAGTGAGTGGGTGAGTGAGTGGGTGAGTGTGTGGGTGGGTGGGTGGGTGAGTGAGTGAGTGGGTGAGTGAGTGGATGAGTGAGTGGGTGAGTGAGTGATTGGATGAGTGAGTGGATGAGTGAGTCTGTGAGTGAGTGGGTGAGTGAGTGGGTGAGTGAGTGGGTGGGTGGGTGGGTGAGTGAGTGGGTGAGTGAGTGGATGAGTGAGTGGGTGAGTGAGTGAGTGAGTGGGTGAGTGAGTGGGTGGGTGAGTGGGTGAGTGAGTGAGTGAGTGGGTGAGTGAGTGAGTGGGTGAGTGAGTGAGTGGGTGAGTGAATGAGTGAGTGGGTGGGTGAGTGGGTGAGTGGGTGAGTGGGTGGGTGGGTGGGTGAGTGGGTGGGTGAGTGAGTGAGTGAGTGGGTGAGTGAGTGAGTGGGTGAGTGAGTGAGTGAGTGGTTGGGTGAGTGGGTGGGTGAGTGGGTGAGTGAGTGAGTGAGTGGGTGAGTGAGTGAGTGGGTGAGTGAGTGAGTGAGTGGGTGGGTGAGTGGGTGAGTGGGTGAGTGGGTGGGTGGGTGAGTGAGTGGGTGAGTGAGTGAGTGAGTGGGTGGGTGAGTGGGTGAGTGGGTGGGTGGGTGAGTGGGTGAGTGGGTGGGTGGGTGGGTGAGTGGGTGAGTGGGTGGGTGGGTGAGTGGGTGAGTGGGTGGGTGGGTGAGTGGGTGGGTGACTGGGTGAGCGAGTGAGTGGGTGAGTGAGTGAGTGAGTGGGTGAGTGAGTGAGTGGGTGAGTGGGTGAGTGAGTGGGTGAGTGAGTGGGTGAGTGGGTGGGTGAGTGGGTGAGTGAGTGGGTGAGTGAGTGGGTGAGTGGGTGGGTGGGTGGGTGAGTGAGTGGGTGAGTGAGTGGATGAGTGAGTGGGTGAGTGAGTGATTGGATGAGTGAGTGGATGAGTGAGTCTGTGAGTGAGTGGGTGAGTGAGTGGGTGAGTGTGTGGGTGGGTGAGTGAGTGAGTGAGTGGGTGAGTGAGTGGATGAGTGAGTGGGTGAGTGAGTGATTGGATGAGTGAGTGGATGAGTGAGTCTGTGAGTGAGTGGGTGAGTGAGTGGGTGGGTGAGTGAGTGGGTGAGTGAGTGAGTGAGTAGGTGATTGAGTGGGTGAGTGAGTGAGTAGGTGAGTGAGTGAGTGAGTAGGTGAGTGAGTAGGTGAGTGAGTGGGTGAGTGAGTGGGTGAGTGTGTGGGTGGGTGGGTGAGTGAGTGAGTGGGTGAGTGAGTGGGTGAGTGAGTGTGTGAGTGAGTGGGTGGGTGAGTGATTGGATGAGTGAGTGGATGAGTGAGTCTGTGAGTGAGTGGGTGAGTGAGTGGGTGAGTGAGTGGGTGGATGGGTGAGTGAGTGAGTGAGTGGGTGAGTGAGTGGATGAGTGAGTGGGTGAGTGAGTGAGTGAGTGGGTGAGTAGGTGAGTGAGTGGGTGAGTGAGTGGATGAGTGAGTAAGTGGGTGAGTGAGTGAGTGAGTAGGTGAGTGAGTGGGTGAGTGAGTGGATGAGTGGATGAGTGAGTGAGTGGATGAGTGAGTGAGTGCGTGGATGAGTGAGTGAGTGGGTGAGTGGGTGAGTGAGTGGATGAGTGGATGAGTGAGTGAGGGTGAGTGAGTGAGTGGGTGAGTGAGTAGGTGAGTGAGTAGGTGAGTGAGTGGATGAGTGAGTGAGTGGGTGAGTGGGTGAGTGAGTGGATGAGTGGATGAGTGAGTGGGTGAGTGAGTGGGTGAGTAAGAGGGTGAGTGGGTGAGTGAGTGAGTGGATGAGTGAGTGAGTGAGTAGGTGAGTGAGTGAGTAGGTGAGTGGGTGAGTAAGAGGGTGAGTGAGTGAGTGAGTGGGTGAGTGAGTGAGTGAGTGGATGGGTGAGTGAGTGGGTGAGTGGGTGAGTGAGTGGATGAGTGGATGAGTGAGTGAGTGAGGGTGAGTGAGTGAGTGGGTGAGTGAGTGAGTGAGTGGATGAGTGAGTGAGTGGGTGAGTGAGTGGATGAGTGGATGAGTGAGTGAGTGAGGGTGAGTGAGTGAGTGGGTGAGTGAGTGAGTGAGTGGATGAGTGAGTGAGTGAGGGTGAGTGAGTGAGTGAGTAGGTGAGTGAGTGGATGAGTAGGTGAGTGAGTGGATGAGTGAGTGGGTGAGTGGGTGAGTGAGTGGATGAGTGGATGAGTGGGTGAGTGAGTGAGTGGGTGAGTGAGTAGGTGAGTGAGTGAGTGAGTGACTCACTCTCGACCGTACGCAGGTTCGTCTCTTTAGGGCGGATCACACAAACTCCCTCCATGCAGCTCTTCACTTCGTTGGTTGCTGTGGATGTCGTGAAAATCAAATCAGTTCAGATCACTGTCATCATCATCATCACCACCACCACCACGATATCGATTGCTACGTGGAACACATCTTTGTTGGCAGTATAAAATCATAACAATAGGGTGCCTGTAACCTTTCTGTCAGGAACACCACATCGGAGGGCTTGCTCCTTAGCTCTGTCGGTAAAGTCACGTGGAAATGGACCGTATTTAAATGATAACAACAATAATAATATAATTCGACGTTTCGATCGCGACACAAGCAACCATCATCAGGTACGAACGAACGAGAAAAACGAACCCCGAGTAAACGTCGAAATATAAAATGGGATTCTTCATGGTGATGTCGGCCTACACGGCAGTCAACACCCCCGAGCGAATTTTTTAAAAACATTTTTGGGGGGGCCGGAAGAACTAACGATTTCAGCTGCCACCGTGAAGCCTCGAAGCTAGGCGGTGTGCTCTTGATTTAAAGCTTGCGGTGATTCTTCACATCCTCGGCTCTTTCGGTGAAGTCACCAACCACGTTGAAGGGGGGAAACAATAAAACGATAAAATAAAATGTGTAAAACAATAAAAACAAAAATAATTCCTCACGACGTTTCGACCGCAACACCACAAGCAGCCGTCATCAGGTGTGGAGAAAAACCAACGGCAAGAAACATTTTTAAAAAGAAAGTGGCGCTTTGTATTGAGTCAGTTTAACACGTAGGAGGCTTTCGCGACCAATATTATTCATAATAAAGGTTTTTTTTGGGTTAGATCGCGTTTATTTATAAATGTGTCGTAACCCTCCACCACCCGACACGGCCAATCAGCAAAAAAAAAGTGTCACGTTGACAAAAGACACAAAATAGTTCACTACTTTAGCCCCACCGGTGTGTTGTTGAAGAGTGAATCCACAACGTTTACAGTTTGAGTAGTACGACGTTTCGCTGGTAAATACATCAACCAGCATCATCATCGGGCAATTTGCCAGAATGGTAAAGCCCTCTCCACTTGCTCCCGGTCTTAAATAGAGCAGCATCAGGGTGACGTCATCACTTAACTAATATCATTACATTTTGATGATTTAAAGAATTACTAATCTACAACTCATTACTAATCATAACCAATGACTGATTACTAATCGATTATATAATTACAATACCCCCCCCTCCCACCAGGCCTCTAATCACTGCACCTGATATGAGTTAAGTGATGACGTCACCCTGATGCTGCTCTATATAAAACCGGGAGCAAGCGAGGGCTTTACCATTCTGGCGAATACCCTGATGATGCTGGTTGATGTATTTACCAGCGAAACGTCGTACAACTCAAACTGTAAACGTTGTGGATTCACTCTTCAACAACACACCGGTGGGCTAAAGTAGTGAATTATTTTTGTCTTTTGTCAACGTGACACTTTTTTTTGCTGATTGGCCGTGTCGGGTGGTGGAGGGTTACGACACATTTATAAATAAACGCGATCTAACCCAAAAACCTTCGTTATGAATTGTATTGAGTTATTTACTTATAAGCGGTGTTTGTGTTGATTTATTTTTAAACTGTTAGCACTACGGAGAGTGATTTGGCAGGTTATTTAGAAGGACGAGTCCATCTATGTTCTGAAAAGAGGAGGGGGGAGACTAAAAATTAATGTATGCTGTCTGAAAGCCACTGTAAGCGTGAACAATCAATTAAGACCCGAAATGGTTTATCAAATCCTTCCAATGATTGCTAAGCCGGAATCCATCTTCTCGGTTGAAATTGTCTCTGTGCTTGTATATGTGGATAGCCTCATGAACGAATCTCTCATGGTAGCCAGATGGCTTGCAAAGATCCTCTGTCTTGGACAAGTCAATGTGTTTTTTCACACCTGATGATGACCGTTTGTGTTATGGCCAAAACGTCGTGAGAATTTTTATTGTTTTATATATATATATTTTATTATTTTATTGCTTCCCCTTCAACGTGGTGACTTTACCGAGAGAGCTAAGAATAGGAGGTGTGCTGTTATGACGTTCTAAATCGCCAGCAAGATTATATCGTGATTCAAAGCTTTCATATTATTTGTGCTTTCGGTAAAGTCACCACCGCGTTAGAAGGGAAACGATAAAATAACTAATATATACGTAAAACAATAAAATTCTCACGACGTTATTTTCGACTGCAACATAAAGCAGCAATCATCGTCAAGAAAATGTTTTTGCCGGCGGTGTTCACATCATCTCACCCACCCAGTAACTCACTCACCATCTCGTCTACCCAGTAACTCACTCACCATCTCGCCCACCCAGTGCCTCACTCACCATCTCACCCACCCAGTACCTCACTCACCATCTCGCCCACCCAGTACCTCACTCACCATCTCGCCCACCCAGTAACTCACTCACCATCTCGTCTACCCAGTACCTCACTCACCATCTCACCCACCCAGTACCTCACTCACCATCTCGCCCACCCAGTACCTCACTCACCATCTCGCCCACCCAGTAACTCACTCACCATCTCGCCCACCCAGTACCTCACTCACCATCTCACCCACCCAGTAACTCACTCACCATCTCGTCTACCCAGTAACTCACTCACCATCTCGTCTACCCAGTACCTCACTCACCATCTCGTCTACCCAGTAACTCACTCACCATCTCGCCCACCCAGTACCTCACTCACCATCTCACCCACCCAGTAACTCACTCACCATCTCGTCTACCCAGTAACTCACTCACCATCTCGTCTACCCAGTACCTCACTCACCATCTCGTCTACCCAGTAACTCACACACCATCTCACCCACCCAGTACCTCACTCACCATCTCGCCCACCTACTCAATCATTTACCCACTCACCCATAATCTCACTCACCACATCACTCACCACCTCACTCACCCATCATCTCACCCACCCAGTACCTCACTCACCATCTCGCCCACCCAGTACCTCACTCACCATCTCACCCACCCATCATCTCACCCACCCAGTACCTCACTCACCATCTCACCCACCCAGTACCTCACTCACCATCTCGCCCACCCAGTACCTCACTCACCATCTCGCCCACCCAGTACCTCACTCACCATCTCGCCCACCCAGTACCTCACTCACCATCTCACCCACCCAGTACCTCACTCACCATCTCGCCCACCCAGTTCCTCACTCACCATCTCACCCACCCAGTACCTCACTCACCACCTCACTCACCCATCATCTCACCCACCCAGTACCTCACTCACCATCTCGCCCACCCAGTACCTTACTCACCATCTCGCCCACCTACTCAATCATTTACCCACTCACCCATAATCTCATTCACCAACTCACTCACCCATCATCTCACCCACCCAGTACCTCACTCACCATCTCGCCCACCCAGTACCTCACTCACCATCTCACCCACCCAGTACCTCACTCACCACCTCACTCACCCATCATCTCACCCACCCAGTACCTCACTCACCATCTCGCCCACCCAGTACCTCACTCACCATCTCGCCCACCCAGTACCTCACTCACCATCTCGCCCACCCAGTACTTCACTCACCATCTCGCCCACCCAGTACCTCACTCACCATCTCGCCCACCCAGTACCTCACTCACCATCTCACCCACCCAGTACCTCACTCACCATCTCGCCCACCTACTCAATAATTTACCCACTCACCCATAATCTCATTCACCAACTCACTCACCCATCATCTCACCCACCCAGTACCTCACTCACCATCTCGCCCACCCAGTACCTCACTCACCATCTCACCCACCCAGTACCTCACTCACCACCTCACTCACCCATCATCTCACCCACCCAGTACCTCACTCACCATCTCGCCCACCCAGTACCTCACTCACCATCCCACCCACCCAGTATCTCACTCACCATCTCGCCCACCCAGTACCTCACTCACCATCTCGCCCACCCAGTACCTCACTCACCATCTCGCCCACCCAGTACCTCACTCACCATCTCGCCTACCCAGTACCTCACTCACCATCTCACCCACCCAGTACCTCACTCACCATCTCACCCACCCAGTACCTCACTCACCATCTCGCCCACCCAGTACCTCATTCACCATCTCACCCACCCAGTACCTCACTCACCATCTCGTCTACCCAGTAACTCACTCACCATCTCGCCCACCCAGTACCTCACTCACCATCTCACCCACCCAGTACCTCACTCACCATCTCGCCCACACAGTACCTCACTCACCATCTCGCCCACCCAGTACCTCACTCACCATCTCACCCACCCAGTACCTCACTCACCACCTCACTCACCCATCATCTCACCCACACAGTACCTCACTCACCATCTCGCCCACCCAGTACCTCACTCACCATTTCGCCCACCCACTCAATAATTTACTCACTCACCCACGATCTCACTCAACATCTCACCCATCCACTCAAGCAGTTATGCACTCAGCCACCAACTCACTCACCATCTCACTCACCATCTCGCCCACCCAGTACCTCACTCACCATCTCACCCACCCAGTACCTCACTCACCAACTCGCCTACCCAGTAACTCACTCACCATCTCGCCCACCCAGTACCTCACTCACCATCTCGCCCACCCAGTACCTCACTCACCATCTCGCCCACCCAGTACCTCACTCACCATCTCGCCCACCCAGTTCCTCACTCACCATCTCACCCACCCAGTAACTCACTCACCATCTCGCCTACCCAGTGCCTCACTCACCATCTCGCCCACCCAGTACCTCACTCACCATCTCACCCACCCAGTACCTCACTCACCAACTCGCCTACCCAGTAACTCACTCACCATCTCGCCTACCCAGTAACTCACTCACCATCTCGCCCACCCAGTACCTCACTCACCATCTCGCCCACCCAGTACCTCACTCACCATCTCGCCCACCCAGTTCCTCACTCACCATCTCACCCACCCAGTACCTCACTCACCACCTCACTCACCGATCATCTCACCCACTCAGTACCTCACTCACCATCTCGCCCACCCAGTACCTCACTCACCATCTCGCCCACCTACTAAATTATTTACCCACTCACCCACCATCTCTCACGCTCACTCCGTAATTTACCGTCTCAGCCACCATCTCACTCACCCACCATCTCACTCACCATCTCACCCACCCAGTACCTCACTCACCATCTCGCCCACCCAGTACCTCACTCACCATCTCGCCCACCTACTCAATTATTTACCCACTCACCCAATAATCTCACTCACCACCTCACTCACCCATCATCTCACCCACCCAGTACCTCACTCACCATCTCGCCCACCCAGTACCTCACTCACCATCTCGCCCACCCACTCAATAATTTACTCACTCACCCACGATCTTACTCAACATCTCACCCATCCACTCAAGCAGTTATGCACTCAGCCACCATCTCACTCACCCACCAACTCACTCACCATCTCACTCACCATCTCACCGACCCAGTATCTCAATCACAATCTTGTCCCCCCACTCAATAATTTACTCACTCACCCACGATCTCACTCACCATTTCACTCACCCACCCAATAATTTACTCACCCACCATCTCACTCACCAACGTACCCACCCACTCAATTATTTACCCACTCACCCACCATCTAACTCACCCACAATTCTCATTCACCCACCAGCTCATTCATAATTTTATCCATCCACTCAATCATTTACGTACTCACCCACCAGCTCACTCACCACCTCACTCACCCATCATCTCACCCACCCAGTACCTCACTCACCATCTCGCCCACCTACTCAATCATTTACCCACTCACCCATAATCTCACTCACCACCTCACTCACCACCTCACTCACCCATCATCTCGCCCACCCAGTACCTCACTCACCATCTCGCCCACCTACTCAATCATTTATCCACTCAGCCACCATCTCACTCACCCACCATCTCACTCACCATCTCACTCACCATTTCACCCACCCAGTACCTCACTCACCATCTTGTCCATCCACTCAATAATTTACTCACTCACCCACCATCTCACTCACCACCTCGCTCACCCATCATCTCACCCACCCAGTACCTCACTCACCATCTCACTCACCACCTCACTCACCCATCATCTCACCCACCCAGTACCTCACTCACTATCTCACTCACCACCTCACTCACCCATCATCTCACCCACCCAGTACCTCACTCACCATCTCGCCCACCTACTCAATCATTTATCCACTCACCCACCATCTCTCACGCTCACTCCGTAATTTACCGTCTCAACCACGATCTCACTCACAATGTCACTCACCATCTCAATCACCCACTCAATCATTTACCCACTCACCCATCATCTCACTCACCCACTCAATAATTTCCCCACTCACCCAACACCTCACTCACCCACCATCTCACTCACTTACCATTTCACCCACCATCTCACTCACCCACTCAATCATTTACCCACTCACCCACCATCTCACTCATCCACTCAAACATTTACCCACTCCCCCACCATCTGACTCACCATCTCATTCACCCACTTAATTATTTACTTACTCACCCACCATCTAACTCACCCACAATTATCACTCACTCACAATCTCACTCGACATCTCACTCACCATTTCACTCACCTACCCAATAATTTACTCACCCACCATCTCACTCACCAACTCACCCACCCACTCAATTATTTACCCACTCACCCACCATCTAACTCACCCACAATTCTCACTCACCCACCAGCTCATTCATAATTTTACCCATCCACTCAATCATTTACGTACTCACCCACCATCTCACTCACCACCTCACTCACCCATCATCTCACCCACCCAGTACCTCACTCACCATCTCGCCCACCTACTCAATAATTTATCCACGCACCCACCATCTATCACACTCACTCCGTAATTTACCGTCTCAACCACGATCTCACTCACCATGTCACTCACCATCTCAATCACCCACTTAATCATTTACCCACTCACCTATCATCTCACTCACCCACTCAATAATTTCCCCACTCACCCAACACCTCACTCACCCACCATCTCACTCACTTACCATCTCACCCACCATCTCATTCATCCACTCAAACATTTACCCACTCCCCCACCATCTGACTCATCATTTCATTCACCCACTTAATTATTTACTTACTCACCCACCATCTAACTCACCCACAATTATCACTCATTCACGATCTCACTCAACATCTCACCCATCCACTCAAGCAGTTATGCACTCAGCCACCATCTCACTCACCCACCATATCACTCACCATCTCACTCACCATCTCACTCACCATTTCACTCACCTACCCAATAATTTACTCACCCACCATCTCACTCACCAACTCACCCACCCACTCAATTATTTACCCACTCACCCACCATCTAACTCACCCACAATTCTCACTCACCCACCAGCTCATTCATAATTTTACCCATCCACTCAATCATTTACGTACTCACCCACCATCTCACTCACCACCTCACTCACCCATCATCTCACCCACCCAGTACCTCACTCACCATCTCGCCCACCTACTCAATAATTTATCCACGCACCCACCATCTATCACACTCACTCCGTAATTTTCCGTCTCAACCACAATCTCACTCACCATGTCACTCACCATCTCAATCACCCACTCAATCATTTGAAAGGGCGTCTCTGTGATGGGCCGTGATCAGCTCTGTGGGAGGCTGCTTGGCGGTTGATGATGATGGTGGTGGTTGTGGAGATGATGGTGCTGGTGATGATGGTGGTGGTGGTGATGATGATGATGGTGGTGATGATGGTGGTGGTGATGATGATGATGGTGATGATGATGGTGGTGGTGATGGTGGTGGTGGTGGTGGTGATGATGGTGGTGGTGGTGGTGATGATGATGGTGGTGATGATGGTGGTGATGATGATGATGGTGGTGGTGATGATGATGGTGGTGGTTGTGGAGATGATGGTGGTGGTGATGGTGATAAAGGTGGTGGTGGTGGTGATGATGATGGTGGTGGTTGTGGAGATGATGGTGCTGGCGATGATGGTGGTGGTGATGATG